ACAAGGTCATTACTATCAGCAATTTAAATTACAGACTGACAAAGTCATTACTATCAGCAATTTACATTACAGACTTACAAGGTTATTACTATTTACATTTTTCATCATTTTCCAAGTTAACCCCATTCTTCTTGTTTTGATTACATTTCCGATGACAAATTCTTTTGTTTTCTGTTGACATATCTATGATCAAATCTGTCATGTGACATTTATTTTCATTCCTTATTTCTTTGTTCTATCAAATAGAGACTTCTTGAGATTCCCTAAACAAGGTGTTGCTTTTTACAGACAGACAGATCCAAACATGTTCACATTTTAATTGACAACTCATAAGGTTGGGTACCTGATCATGGAGCAATGTTTAGCAAGTGAGACTTGCTAAATTCATTTACTGCTGTAGTAAATTCAATCAATGCTCGACTCTTGCAATCCTCTATGAAACTGAGTTAAGCTGATGGGCCATACATTATATAAAATTGGACCGTGAAGTCAACACTGAACAGTGACAGTCTGTTTCATGCTTGAATGCTTTTTTAGCCTGAAGATTGCATTCAAGTATGAAACAGACAGTTGCTATCAGTGTCTAATTGTATAATTACATACACTCTATATCTGATATTGACGAGGTGATAGTACCTGTTAGGGTCCTAGTTATGGGTAAATACTGACCTCCCTCAAACAAAATCAAAATCCTATGAAAGTATGAAAATATATCTTTATAGTAAAAATACCAGCAATACATTTTTATATAAAAAAAATTACCAACAATATTTATTTATAGTAAAATGACCAACAATACATTTTTAAAGTAAAATGACTAGCAATATGTTTTATAGAAAAATTGTAATAATACATTTTATTTGTAATTTAAGGCATAAAATTGTGTTCAAAATATCTAGATTTTGGCATTAAATAACCCACAGTGATTGATATGCCACTAAACAAAATCAATCAACAAACCTGATATTGAGTAATTTTGCCTATAGTGGATACTTGTATTTGAGTAGAAGCTATATTTGCTCATTAAACAGTATATTTATTTTCATTTATTGGACAGAATATTCAAAAAAATCTTACTAGAAAAAAATATGCATTTCAACATTTCCTTGAACCAATTTAAAATCTAACATAGACTAACCGCTCTAACAGATATATGTGCATGTGTGTGTTTTATCACTGTAAGTAATAAAATCTGTCAGATTAATAATGTTGTAGAGTAGTTTTCACAGTGGAGGCTTGTATTTCACTAAGTTGGTCCTAAAAAGGTCCGATGTACAAAACATTAGGAACTTGAAATAATAATTAATGACGCAGCAATCTAGTTGTGATGGTTGATACTTCAATGTCCGACATCGACTGACTCACTCAACTCCACTGAGCTCAACTGGCGACCACTACTACTACTTATTATGTGTGGGAGAGTCTATTAATAATAGAATAGGTACGTTCAGGTATAACAAATGAATAAAAAAATCCAATGATGGTTCAAATCCTGTCAGTGCATATCTTTCTCTAATAAGATTTCTTGAATATTCAAGCCAGTAGATGAAAATAAATAAATATACTTTTTAATAAATAAATGGAGTGTCTACTCAAATAGGAGTATCCACTAAAAATAATGTTTAAGTAATAAAAATCTGTCACAATAAAAAATCCTACCCTTTCTTTATATATATATATATATATATATATATATATATATATATTAAACGTTATTTTTAGTTGATGATTCATAACAGAGTAGACACTCCATTTATTTGAAAACTGTATATTATTTTGTTTACCATTCAAAAACTCTGGCAGGATTCAAACCTGTGTCTCTTTGCAGGAGAAGCTGTCATTTGTTTACATTTTGAATACAAAACTTAGTAGGTACGACTTTCAAAGAAATCTGAACGTGTAAAGTGTGCTTTAAAAGGCAAATAGAACCTTGTTAGATTATGAAGGTCTTCATAGCCAAATGTTCAAAACATGCCGGATCAAACAACAGTTTCTCCTGCAAAGAGGGATGCAGGTTTGAATCTTGGCAGTCGGCAAATTTTCCTTTGATAAGATTTTTTGAGTGTTCAGGCCAGTAGATTAAATAAAATACTGTTTAAAATAAAAGCATCTACTCAAATATGAGTATAATTTAAAGTAATAAAAATATGGCAGACTGATATATATATATATATATATATATATATATATATATATATATACCAATTGGTAGGGATAATTCCAAGAAGGACATTAATTAATTCAAAGAGAGCTCAATGTAAGTCGCAATATAATAATAATAAAAAGTAAAGAAAATCTTTAAAAATCCATTTTCTGAAAAAAGAACTTGGGTCTGAAGAGATGAATATTTAAATATATTCATGAAATAAATTATAACCAAAATGTATTTTTTTTTAATTATTATAATAAATAATAATAATAATAATTATATATATATATATATATATATAAACATACAGGTACCATATACTCCAGCTAGATGTTTTCCATAAAAGCGTGTCTGCGTGCAATCTGTGGAGTTAAGCTTCAAGATAGGACATCTAACATAGACCTGTTTAACAGGTGTAATATTGGAGGAATCGAGACTTATCATACAGTCACAGTTATGCTGGACTGGTCATGTCTTGAGAATGTCTGATGACAGGATACCCAAGATCCTAATGTACAGCCAGTTAGATCAGGGCTACAGGAATGTAGAATGCCCATGGCTAAGATACAAAGACAAGCTGAAAAGCAACTTGAGCACTTAGCTTTGGAGTGGGTAGAATGGAGATCAACGTGTTTTACTGGACTCAGCAATTTTCAATCTGCTTGTTTGAATCATCTTCAAGAAGCGAGAGCAAGATCTAAAAGGTCAGCCAATCTAACAGTGATCTCATCTCACAATTCTCACACCTGCTCCATATGTGGCCTCCTTTGTAAATCACTAGCGGGTCTTAAATGCCACTTAAGATTATCGCATAATCTTTCATAACTGAATCAATAAGCTGGCAGATCCTCATACATCGAAACTGATGGGAGAGTCCATTATTATATATAAACATGGTATTATGAAATGGACTAAGTCTGACAATTATTTTATTTTCTATTTGTACATTATTTTTTTAGATACAAATATTTAAATAAATGCTCTGTTTATAATAACAGGTTATGTGATGGTTCCGTGTAGGATACAGATTTGATTCCTGTTGGAGGACACATATTTTCTATGAAAATTTCTCAAACATTCAGGCCGGTAAATGTTGTTAATACTGTTTATTATAAACAGAGCATTTACTTAAATATTTGTATCTATAAAAAAATTAATGTATTATCAGAAAATAACATGGTATATTTAACAGCAATCTTTATGTTTTATTGACTAGAAAGAACAAGAAACCTCTGTGTTAAAACTTTTAATGAGTTTCTCCTTATGTTGAATAAGTGCAATATTGGGTGGAAATTTGTATAAGAACTTGCCAAAATTGTGTGTAATGTTCCAAGGACTTATGATCATTGTTGGTCATTTTCAAGGAAAGCTGACAGAAATTGAGAAATAATCAGTATAGCATTTATGTTATTAATGGCCCAGAGCTTGAATTCAAAGTGGTGTTATAGACAAGCGTATGGTTGCAAGAAAGAAATACAACAACAGCAGAAATAGATTTACGTGATTTATTTCAACAGGAACGTGTGGGTTTGGGATAGCTACCTTGTGGTATAGTTCATAAGCCAGCTTCCAATCTGGGTTGATCTCTCACAGTAGTTTTCACTGGTTGGCGTGGTGCTCCTCCTGCTGACTGCTGCTGACTGACTGTGACAGGTCTCTTTCCTGGCCGCCTGTTGACTGCTGTTGTACTTTCGTGTGACCCCTTTTATGGCGTTTTTTTATGGCTTAACAGGCTCAAGAAACGATGCAAGTATAATTAGGAGGGAAGCATTTTTATTGGTCAAAAAATAGAAACACTTTAAAATATTTTATTTTTCGACCGGAACTCGTGCATTAGGAACATGCGTAAACGAAGATAATGGTCATTTTGTGACGGGGCCTTGTCCCATTCACATCCGGCTCTTGCTCTTGAGTATGTTAGTTTATTTGCCTGCAAATCAGCTGAGATATGTCTTATTTTATTTTATAACAGTGGTTTACATACTCTGACAGTATAAACAGCATAAATGCTATACTGATTATCTCTTTACTTTCTATCTTCTTTCCTAGAAAATGACCAATGATATACTCCGAACATTTTCTGGGATGAGGAGTTATTATTTACATGCAGATTATTGTCCTCATCTTTGTCGTTCTTATCATAACGTTTTGGCTGTTGTGCCCACGCCCCCCTCCCAGCCTTCATTGGCCATTTATTGATCTGGGTAAACTTCAGGAAATTTTGAACTGAACCCTTTATTTAATCTATGGGAGTAGGTTACTCTCACTACACTAACCATGAGATGTCTTGTCTAGTTCTTATTTAATATTGCTCAGTTATTACTCACCCTTTTCCACCAAGTGCAAGTACACACTACCCAGCCATGGGATTGAACTCATAATTACTATGTCACCAAATTCATGAACCACTAAGCTATTGTCTCATCAAAACATTACACACAATTTTGGCAAGTGCCTTTACATTTTTCAACCTGACATCTAACGACTTACTGAACATCAGAAGAAACTCACCAAGAGCTTAAGAGATATTCCTAGTTTGATTTATATCTATGTCAGAACCAGAAATTGGTGTTTAAACTCAGGACTTTGAATACTGATTTTCAAGACATGCAAAGCCTGTCTGCTTGAAAGACTGACACAACAATATCTTTTTACTTCTATTATGCCCTTACATGGCTTAAGCTTAAGAAATATGAACAGCGTTTGAGATAATCCAAATGGGAAGCCATTTTTCAACTGTTTATATATACCCCATGCATTACTTAATAAAAGTGAAATAGTTCTTGCTGATACAATTTATACTTACTTTTGTGGCTTTTATTGAAAATTTTTTGCAAACAATGCAGCTTACCTTGGATTGTCCAATAAAGAAGAAATTTCAGTGGATGGTCCCGAACTCTGTCAAATCGATGATCAGATCCTTCAGACATTATGCGAAAAAAGAGGTAAGAGCCAAGCCTACAACAGCAGACAACATGGATTTGAGATTAAATTTAGTTTTGTGAAAGAAAACATTTTAAAAAAAAGTTTAACTGTTATTTCTCTGTATTTACATTAGTCAGACTATTGTCCTCATCTTTGTCGCCATATTTGTCACAACGTTTCGGCCGTTGTACGCTCCGGCCTTCTTCAGGTGGTTGGAATTTCGAACTCAAGGACACATGGCACAGTGTATAAAGGCGTTGGTTAGATCCAGTGACAGACCCAAAGAAGGTGAGTTCAATACCTGGTTAAGGCAGTGGAGAACTTTCAGAGGGAAAATTAGCAGGAGATAACTGATAACTGACATCCATCAAACATGGCACGTGGAACTAGAACAGTCTACCCCAGTAATCGAAATAAAGGGTTCAGTTCGAAATTCCAACCACCTGAAGAAGGCCGGAGTGTACAACGGCCGAAATGTTGTGACAAATATGGCGACAAAGATGAGGACAATAGTCTGACTAATGTAAATACAGTACATAATACCTCATCTCAGAAATATAGACAGACTGTTATTTCTCTGTCTTGATACTATCAACATTGTCATGGAGAAAGAAAAAAAATGCTTCAATAATTACAGATGCTCCTCTATTGCTTTTTCAAAGCACACAATTTTTTATGGTTCAGACATTAGCAAAAAAGAAAAAAAGAAAAATTGTAGTTTTACACCAAATGGTTACAAATGGTAATTATTATGGAGATTATGTTCCAACGTGTACATTTTAAAGCAAAAATATTTTGTCAATAATGACCTTATTATGTTGAGTTTCCTCTCCAAGTTAATAGATTTCTTCATATTTTCACCATAAGCAAGAGATGTTTTTTGACATTTAACAGTCATAGATTTTGAAAATATGAGAAAAATCAGGCAAACAAAGAAAAAGACTTAGAGCTGAAATTAAACACTAGATGTTAAGGCACATGATTACTAATGGGAATGGAGGCTAGGTAGATGCTGCTATTTCATTTCATCATAGGTAAGAATATAATTCTAGGTCTACATGCTGCTGCTCACCTGTGCAAAAGTTTTATAATTACAAAATGCATCTAACATTTCATCAGAAAACAGTCAAGTTCTCAAAAAGCAATGGGTATCTGTTAATGTCAGAATTATAAAAAAAAATTATTTGTTTCTGTCTAAATTCCTGGGATGAGGAGTTAGAGTTATAGCCACTAAGATGCAAGGAATTACTGAGTGTGAAAGAAAATGAGAAAAAGAAAAACATTATTAAGGAGAGAGAACAATAAAGGAACAGGAATTAAGACGACAAAAGATAACATTTAACATTGTTCTTCAAAAGTTTTAATGCAATGTTGACTAAAAAGCAAGGAGCTGGAAGAGAATCCCACAAGCAAGAAGTGTGAGAAAAGAAACTATTAGCATAGACCTTATGGTTGCATCTAGCAATTCCAACTGTAAAATGATGAGACCATACTGCCAATCTGGTAGTACACTTAAATTCATAAAGTCTACGTACCAAAGAGGAAAGTTCATTGGAAAAGTTACCAGGAAAATATAAAAAGAGGCACAGGGAAGTGATGGGAAAGTGCTGAGATGCCAGGTCAGAATCAATAATATTGCATATTCTTCTTTGGATTTTATCAAGAATCTCTAAATATATAGCAGAAGCACCAGATTAGATATGGCAGCAATATTCAAAGCAAGAATGAATGGTAGGTTTATAAATATGTAAGATAGATTCTGGCAAGAAAAATTGTTTCATCCAACTTTCCTAGCAATAGACCTAACAATTGATTCAATAATGTCCTCATCTTTGTTGTTGTTGTTGTTCTCACAATGTTTTGGCTGTTGTGCCATCTGACCTTTATCAGGTTTTCAGTCAATCTGGGTAACCTTCAGGAAATTTCAAAGTGAACACTTTATTTAATCTATGGAGGTAGATTGTTCTCACTGTTTATATTGACGAGCATCTTGTCTTTGTTCTTATTTAGTCCTGCTCAGTTATTGCTTGCCCTGTTTCCACCAAATCTAAGTCTCTACTATCTAGGCCAAGAACTGAACTAGAGAACTGAACTGCTTTTTAGAAATGCTGGTCACATTAATAAATTTTTTTTTTTTTAATATGCTCTGGACACAGAAACAGAAAGTGAGTTTGGAGTCAAATGTCAATCAAATATGGATTGGAATCTGAGAAAAATGATAAGATAAAGAATAAGTAAAGTGTAGACAGTTTTCTTGTATGCTTTTTTTATACATGTGTGACCTGATAATTTAGTTGGAAAATACAAGAAGTGTGAGATTTCTTACCCTGAAATTTGTTGAGTGCTAAGACATAAATGTTACTATTATGGCTGGAAAAAGATATATATATATATATATAAAATTCACCTAAAACTGACACAAATGTTAAACACACTTCCTCAGCAAATTCCAAGATATGAAGATAATTTCAGATGACTAAAGTAATCCAGAACTTATACTGGAAGCAAATCACCTGCATACAGATAGAAAATGAATTAACTACCTACACAAAAACAGAAAATAGAAAGGGGTTGTAAGACAAGGATGTCCATTCTCTCCAGATTTATTCAACCTCTACAGCAAGGCTATCCTCAGGGAGCTGGAGACCCTACCTAGAGTTATTACCGACCAGTGAGTGTAATCTTAAGATACACAGAAGACACTGTGTTGTTGGCTAATATGGAAAGATAAAAGAGAGAAGAAAAGACTATCAACTGCAAGAAGACAGAAAGTAATCAGTACAAGATGTAAGTTACAAATTGGATATGTCAATACAGAAGTTTAAATATCTAGGAAGTGTTTTAACAGAGGATGAAAAATGCAACACTGAGATCCAAACACACATTGGGCTAGCAAAGGAGGCACTCCAAAAGTTAAGCAAAATGCTGTGAAACAGAAAAAATTAATTAGAAACAAAGAAAAGTGTGTTGGATCATGATGTGACATCCATCATCTTATAAGGTAGTGAATGTTGGACAATATCCTCACAGATGAGAAAAAAACCTAGAGGCAGAAGAAATGTGGTTCTACAGAAGGATACTGAGAATTCCAAAGATGGAGTGAGTAAGAAACAAGGACGTTTTAAAGAAAATGGCAACCAAAGAAATGCTTATACTCAGAATCAGAAAGAGACAGCTGAAATTCCTTGGACACATAAAGAGGAAGGGGGACTTGGAAAACTTAATCCTCACAGGATATATTGGTAGTAAGCCACATACCTGATGAACCTGAGTGAATAGATGGCAGAATGGAGTTGGGAGCCTTAGCAAAAGTAGAAAAACTGCTGAAGGTCACAAGAGATAGGAAGTTTTGGAAAGCCATGATTACCCATGTCCTGAAGCACATAGAAGATGGTAAAAAGCTTTGGTAAACATTAGAAAAGAAAATGAAAAGATATTGAAGAGAGAAATTGGGCAAACCCTTCTTAAAGAGATTCATCATAATAATCAGAGCATAAAACAATAGCTTCAAGACACACGAGAAATGGGGCAAACCCTTATTAAGGACAGGATCCGTCATAATAATCGGGGCATAATACAATACCTTCAAGATGCAAGAGAAATTGGTTAAATCCTTGTTAAGGAGGAAATCCATCATAATAATCAGGGAATAAAACAATAGCTTTAAGACACACGAGAAATGGGGCAAACCCTTATTAAGGACAGGATCCGTCATAATAATCGGGGCATAATACAATACCTTCAAGATGCAAGAGAAATTGGTTAAATCCTTGTTAAGGAGGAAATCCATCATAATAATCAGGGCATAAAGCAACAGCTTCAAGATGCAAGATAAATGGGGAAAACCCTTGTTAAGGAGGGGATCCATAATAATAATCGGGGAATAAACAGCTTCAAGATACACCTTCTAACCATTAACAATAATTAAAAACAAGGAAACTGGTTTGATAAAAAAATAAAAATCAATGTATAATAGTAACATTACGTCATTTAGAAAAAATTGTTTTTTAAAAAATAAAAAATAACCTATTTTATTTCTCTAGAACAGAACATTGAAGAAGACAATCCTATAATCTTGGTTGTTTAACTTGTGCTTTCCACAAGAACTGACTTATAATGTTGTTTGTGTGTTCATGTGAAAAGTCATTGTTGGTGAAATCATTAAGATCAAAAATAAAATCTTCTTTCTTTTGAATTGTTTGTAGTTAAGAAGTTACAGAAGCAACAAAATAAAAACATAAATAAAACAAGCTTGGAAAAGTTTTTAAAAAAAATAAAGAAAGCTCTTCCATGAGAATAATCTGAATGCTTTGAAAATGAATGTATTTTGAAGCAGATGAAATGTACTGAAGATTTGACAGTGAATATTTGAAGATAAAAAAAGTAACAATATTCAGCTGATTATTTATCCATACTTATAATCAACCTTTCTTTCTTTCTTTCAAGATTTTAACATCATTTTGATGTGTAATCAGAATTTAATCATTTCCAAACCTTCTTGAGACATCAGGAGAATAGTCTGAAAAAAGGTTGCTTAGACATTAGTCTTGTTACTGGTAACTTCATTTTTATATATCAGTGTCATTATTCTATTTGAGCTAACACTTGTTTTATAGTATTGGAGACTTTACTCATCAATCAACCATTATATAATGATCTGGCTTCTGTTTGGGGAATATTTCTTGCTGTAACTCAGCAAAAACAGCAATATTCCTGTTAAAGATTTTCAGGATAATATCTGAACTTGAAAGAAAAAAAACAAAGTCCAGTCCAATTTAATGGAAATATCTAACTTGAACAATGCAATATCCAAACTTGAATAAAGCAAAGTCCAGTCCAATTTAATGGTAGTGTCCTAACTTGAATAAAACAATGTCTAGTGCAATTTAATAATTGCACAACGACAATAACAACAACAATAATAATAATACAATGTTTGAATGTTACAATGTTGCCATGATGCCATTTCAAGAATATCAGCCCTTGTTGAGTAATGCTGAATTTTATAAGGGGCACCCAGTGATGATTGAACTCACTACTCAGCAGTAATGGTCAACCAGGTTAGTCTTACTAAGCACTACCAAAAGACTTTATTTAAAAGGAAAAAGAAAAAGGGGTTACAATAGAGAAGAAATGGAAAAAGAAAAGAAAAGATTTCAAGCCAACTAATTGGATATTGATCAATATCAAATTTGTTGGCTTAATTTTTTTTAATTTTTTTTTATAATTGAAATTATCAACTTCATTTTTAATATTGAGAAATTTTCAAAAAACACAGAATGGGTAAAGATTCAAATTTGTTTTTTTTTTAATCTAATTTCTGCTTATTCATTTTTAGGTACATAATTCCTTGAGAGCAAAAAAAGATACATGCAAAATTGACTTACCTCAATGCCCAGATACAGATAAATGCAGTTTGAATCTTTTGACGATGATAGAAATTGTCACCCCATTTTAGACTGAGAAGTGATAACAGGATGAAAGTCAATGAACCTGCAATGAATCAACAACAGTTTATTTAAAGCTGGATTACCTATAATTGATCTGATAATGCCCACCGCCCTATTTTTGGAACAGTGAGCATTATTACATTATAGGTAAAAATTGTAGTGTTTTTTGGATTTTTTTTTTTTTAGAAACCTACAATTAATAGCAAATTAGTTTTTAAACCTATAATTAATACCATTTATTTTTCTTTTTAAAAACTCAGCAAGATGTTTTTTAATTGATCTGTAAATCAACAACATGGTGCTCTACATGGTCTCATGTCAGATGTGAGCTCCAAGAAGAGGATTTGTTTGGGTAGGTGAATGTCTTGCATTCAGACAAGGAGTTTAGCCCATCTAAGTTGGTGGCAAGACATAATGGTTTCTAGGCTCTCCATCTTTGTGCAGAGGAGAACTTCATTGTTCATGATCCAGTTCTGGCACATGTTCCATAGAATCTAATGAGGTTTCATTTGATGGAATTGTTCAAGTTTGTGGATGTCTCTTTGGTAGAGTACCCGGGTCTCACAGGCATACAGGAAAGTTGAGATTACGACAGCTCAGTAGACCATGAGCTTGGTGGTTTGTTTTAACCCATGATTGCCAAAGACTCTTAATAGCTTCCCACATGTTTCGTGGGTGGCCTTGATTCGGTTATCAATGTATTTTTCAGTAGATGCATTTGATGTTAGTACATTGCCAAGGCATGAAAATTGTTCAACATACTCCAGGTTCAGTCTGTTGATGGTGATTTTAGCTCCAGGTGGTGGTTGATGTCCCAGCCATGTTTGGAGCAGGACCTTGGTTTTTGCCATGTTGATAGTGAGTCCATAATGCATGTCCATTCTGGAGAAGTTGTCCTCTGAGTTCTGAATATTAATAGGTTAATAAAATTCCAACTTGTACTTTTAGTGGATAAAAACAAATGCAACAACCAATAATTTTAAAGATAAATATAATATAATATATATATCCTTTTTATATGCCATGTCCTTTCAGGATGTAGGCAATCATAGCCCTCTACTTCCCCCTATCCCTTGTGGCTCTCATGTTTCTGCCAACTCCCCCAAACCACACTCTGCCATCCACCTGCCCAAGCCTGCCACGTATGTCATACACTACTTTCCCCTGTCTCTTTTTAGTGTAGAATCTTTTCTCTTCAAACAGTCTCCAGATGTCTTAGGAATTTGCAAAACTAATTTAAATTCTTCTATCGCTACCAATGAATTCTCTGTTCCAGGCTATCTTCCTCTTTGTTGAAAAGATTCTAGAATATACTTTGATCCTTACATCCAGAAAAATCTTCCAATGGCAAGGAAATCATTTCCTGAATCTCCAGATGATTCTTTCATGAGCTTTCAACTTTCTTTATTGCAATGTGTTAGCTATCTCTTTTTCTTTATCGCTCCCCCTTCTTCTCAGGACTGTAACATATTAGACAAAATATCTGACCATATAGTAATGGCTCTGTCTCTCAACATTTATCTGCAAACATTTTTGTATTTGGTGATTTTAATATTAAGCATGTCATGTGGTTTAATCATTCTAATGTTACTGATGTTGTCAGTATTCAGACTTTTAATTTTTCTGTTGCTCAGTCAAAATAGTGGAATTTCCTACTCATTTTCCTAATAATTGACATGCTTCTTTACTTGAGATGTTCCTTACCTTTTCTCTTAGCTCTTGTTGAGCATTGCAACTATACTCATGGCAAATTGGATCACACTGTAGTATCTGATATTTCTTTCAAGTCTTTTATTAGACTGGAAGCTCCTATTCCCAATACTTCATTATTTTACCAGTGTACTGAATTGGCTTCATTTCATGATTTTTTGTGACAATCTTGAATTGATAATTTTAACCTTTCTATTGAGAATTGTGCCACTGAGGTTTCTTCTTGGCTTCTTTTATGCTTTTACACTTTCTCAGAAATACTAGATGGAACCACAATCTTCTTGGTTCTAACCTGCCTGTTCAGCTGCTGTAGCCCACAGGAATCACTTTTTCCAGCTGTGCCAATGTGGTAGTTCCAATCATAACAGTTGCCTCTGTGTCTGCTTGTAATAATTGTAAATGTGTCCTATAAAAAGTGGCAAAGTCTTTGTTTGCTGAGAGGCACCATATAGTCTCTAACAAGTTAGTTTTTTGTGAATACTGGAAGCTCTGTAAAAGTGCGTTAAACAAGAGTAAGTTTTCTATATTTTCTCTGTTCACTCAATTTGAGGTGTTCTCATCTTCTGCTGATGCTACCATCTCAAAACTGGATCCCTAAAAAGCATGTGCACTTGATGTTATCTCTGCAATAGTCCTTAAGAAATGTGTTCCAAAACAAGTTCCTGTTCTCTTTAAACTATTCAATAAACGCCTTGCTGTTTCTTGCTAGAAGTCGTTTTCTATAGTTCCAGTCTTTAAGAACTCAAGAAAACTGTCTGATCCTTGTAACTGTTGACCTATTAGTCTTCTGCTTCTTTTTAGCAAAGTAAGGCACAGTGGCATAATGGATAGCAACTTGGATTGAGGAATCAGAGAGCTGAGTTTGAATTCCAGTCAAACCCATTACATTCACTTAAGTGTTAATACCCTTGGGAAAGATATGAATCCTCTTCTTCTTCCCCCAGCTATGGGTAAATAGCAGGACAGACAGGGTTCTATAATCTTGGATGTCATCTGGTCAACCGCAGAAATAAAATGGCAACCTACTGTGGGATAAAAAAAAATCTGCCTCGTCAGTCATGTATCCCGCATGGCACATGACTGTCTAGAGGTTCTAATCAACTGAATTGGTTAAGCATCTCATATCACAGGGTCTTCTTTCTAACTTTCAGGTAAGCAATATGGCATTCACTTCTCTGATGTATTAACAGTTATTGCTGAAAAAGACTATCAAACTTTAGGTAAGAATGATAAAGCTCAGGTAGTTGCTTTGGATACCTTGAAGGCATCTGACTGGGTTTGGTATGCTGGTCTTCTTCACAAGGTGAAAGGTTAATGGTATTTCTGAATTAATTTTTGATCTTATTCAAATATTCATATCAAATTGCAAAATGAAAGTTGCCTTGAACAGGCACACTTCTAGATCTTTTCCACTTGAGAATCCTAATGAAACCCAACTGAAATATATCATCTCTCCTTTTTATTTACTAAATACCAATCCTAGGCTTGTGGGAGAAGTTTTGAAGCCTTTTAACCATCATGTCTCCCTATGCATGTATTGTAATGGCTGGTTTATACAGGACCTTGCCAAAAATTTTGAATCACAACCCTCTTTTAGTAAAAGGAATTCGTTGCAACTAAATCCCAACAGCCACCATTTGGCAAAAGAAATTCCAATCTTATTTGACTAAATTTTGCATAATGGAGCCTCATATCTGATCTTATCTTTTTGCCAAAAGTGGTTTCATGTTTATTCTTATCTACAATATCATCTGATTCCATGATGTAAAAACTTGAAATTAAATTGCAAATTAGAATAACTGATGATAAAAATCAAGTTGTATGAAGGTAAATAACGTAGTAAAAAAAATTATGAAATCATTTGGAGGGGGTGAGTCACCATGGATATTCCACCATCATGAAATTAAAATTAAAATGGGAAATGCAACATTATTTTAATACAGCATAATTTTTTAGCAAATTTTAAATAGCAAATTACTAAATATAGCTTAAATGTGACACAAGGCTAAAAACACCCAGTGAGGATCAAACTTACTGCTCAGTCATAACTGATCTCGTAAGACAAGCTTGCTAACCGTGCTACCACATCAAAGAGATCATCTCAAATTTTAAATATGTGAACATTTTAAATGAATAATTGCAGAGTTTTATTTTTTGCAGGAAAAATTGCAATAACCAGCAAATAATGATCCTTAATCTAAAATTTAAATTAAAATAATAATTTCTCATCTGCACTTGCAACCACACAAATTTTTACATGATCCTCTGGAGATTTTGTGACCCCCCCCCCCGCCATTTTGGGCTGACCTGATTTATATAAAGATTTCTAGTGGCTGTTTTTCAAGTCCTGATCACTAACAAACTGTACAATCAGAACATAACTCATTAACCATATCAGCTGGAAAATATGTCACACACAAGTACTCAAATACATTTATCACCATTACCAATATTTTTATATTTTTGGGGGGGGGGTTATGCTCACTCCTCTGACTGTAATAAGCAATTTATGTTATGGCTTTAAATGTGTTATTTTATTTATTTGTCTTCAATAAACCCATATTTGATGTTTCACTTTGAATACAGGTGTACGTTTTAGTCATGGATGAACAAGAATATGTAAACTGTAATTTTTGTAAAGGGTAATAAATGTTAAGGATTTTTTTTTCAGTACCGAAAATGACAAAACTCAATTGGAAAACAAGAACTATCCTTTTTTCAAAAAAATAAAAACATGTCAAACTAAATGAGACTTCAAAAATCTATATACATGCCAAATATATCTTTAGAGAGAGCATGAGGACCCTACGAGACAAGATTGTTTCTGAATGTAAGAAAAATTATTTCCTCAAGGCATAAATTTGAGAGATACCTGAAATGTTTGGCAAATCATGAGAAGTCTTGGTTTACTTAACAGACAGATCAATCTTTTTAAAATAAAAAAATTGCATAGTTATACATTAGTTTAAAATTTGGTATAATTATGGGGGAACAGTGCTAAATAGCAGAGATAGAACATTTCTAGATATAGACAGTATGAATATTGGATTAACACTGCATGGTGACTCTCAGTGTCATGCTTCAATGAGATTTTCACACCAAGTGCTACTACTCATTTAGCAGGCTGTGTATATAGGTCACTAGAGGATTCAGGAAAGAGGATGCTGGCCATTTGAAGTTTCTTTAGGGTTAGTACTGAGTGTTATTTACAGTCATGACAGTTAGCTTGCTTATTTATGCTGGTTGGAGGAATTATGTATGTAAATAGGCTAGGGTTATTTGTAATCATGCACTTTAGATTGTTTGTTTATATATATATATATATATATACAC